TGAGGCATCAAACCTGGTTCTCCCAGATTAGAGTCCGCACACTTAACCACTACACCAAACTGGCTCTATACCACTACTCATAACCAATTAACCATCTTTGAGGCCTTCATGAACTAACCTGCTTTGTTTCTGATGTCCAAACTGAACCTCTGTATTCACTTACCATGGAAATGGACTCCTACTTATGTAACATTTGAAAAACAATTATTTTCAAATTAAACACTATACCATTAAATTAAAGTGGTCTACTACAATTTGAAAGGGGAGCAGACACTGCACTATAATGTTATGCATTCTGTTGTATGCTAAGACAATCCTGATGACATGAATTTAAAATGTCTATTTCAAGCAGGTCTAAAAGTTATTCTAAACGTATTTAAAGGCAAACACTCCTGTGTTTTGGAGTAATGGAGTAAGGACTATCAACATTGTCTCTAAAATAAAAACACACAGATGGCTTTCTATGCAAATGTCACAGACTATACCACTTGAGTTTCATAGTTTTTTAGTTCCAACGTTCACATTTTTTGTCTCTGTAACTGTGAGTGTTCACACGCACACATCTGTGAACGAAGGATAAATTCCATATATATGATAAACTGAGTTACAGACCTCGCAAATGATGCCACAATGATTCTTTTAATCTTAAAAGCATCACAAGGTTTTGTTGTTGTTGTAACAGAGTAATTCAGCAGCTTCTCTGGAATTCAACTCATGCATTAATCAATGCACTAAAACTAACTGGACTCAAACCTATGCAATTTCTTCAGCTATCCTTACCACTTTTGACTGTTATAATGAAAACCAGCTTTTAAAAGCATCCCATTCATGTTATGATTTAATATTATATCTTCTCTCTAGTTAAATATATATATGCTATATGATCTCTCTCTTTCTATACATACACACATACATCAATACATCCTGAAACTGCTTGGTTAATGTATTATGCATTATTTATTTATTTATTTATTCATTCATTCATTCATTCATTCATTCATTCATTCAATGGACTTGTAGACTGCCCTCCCTCCTACATGGGGCTCAGGATGGTTAACAGTATTTCAATGTATATAATTACAAGTCAGTTAAAATTTAAGAACAATTAAAACAATGCATAGTTTAGACTCATGTTCCAATTTCTGTTGGCGCTTGAACAGTTTACATCCTTCTCCATTATGTTGAAATGTACCATCCTTTTTCTGTTAAAAAGTAACGAACATATCACAATCCACTACTAAAAGCTTCTGTCGTAAAAAACTGTAGCAAATGCTAACAGACTGTGGCTCAAATGTTCAAAATACCAACAGGGCAGGTGTGAGCACTTCCCCAGTGATGTCCTTAAAAGACAGTTCAAAAGTAGCAATATATACTCCACTTCAAAAGAATGCACAGTCCTGCTGCTTCATTTTACCTTCTCTCTGCAAACAGGCAAAAGTAATCAATACTATCTGCTAACAAAAATCACATCATTAGACAGGAAATGTACATGAGAAAGGGAGGCATTCATGAGTGTGCTGCATATCTGCAGGCACACATTACAAGTTGTGAGATCTTTGCCAACAAGGGCAGAGGGCCACCCTATCTCCCAGGCCATCACAATGTCCCAACAAAAAGAACTGCACTTCTCCCTCATACTTATGTAAGTGAAGGTAAAAGTGCATTCAAGCACTCTGTTAGACTGGCAGTAACCCCTGCTCCCTAACACTGGGAATCCTACCCACAGTGGGGATCTGCCCTGTACCCCACTCACCCCTGATCCACATTTCTCCACTGTGGTTTTTTATTTCTTCATCAAGCTCATGTGTGACCAAAACTTGGCACCTAGCTTTTAACCACAGATTCATCAAACTCTTCCTTCACACAGCATGTATCTTTCCTTCCTGTTTTATCCTTACAACAAGTCTATGAAATAGGTGAGGTTGATACATAATTATTGGCACCAAACAATCATACCAGGCCAAGTGGAAATTCAGACTGAGATCCACAACATACTGAATACAAGTTCTGTGAAATTTATATTCCTTAAGAACATAAGAAGACCCCCGCTGGATCAGACCAATGGTCCATCTAGTCCAGCATCTTTTCTTTTATCCCCTGTTCTTAGACCATGATCTTGAACAATAAAACCGAAAAACTTAAATAAAACCCATGTCTAAAAACACCTCCCTTCGCCACTTCTCTGCAGCCTCTAGATATCAGGCAACAAAGTAAGTATGTTGGGAAACCGAATCGAAGAAGGAGGAGGAGAAGATTGGATTTATACCCCGCCCTTCACTACCCAAAGGAGTCTCAGAGCGGCTTACAAACTCCTTTCCCTTCCCCTCCACACAACAGACACACTGTGAGGTAGGTGGGGCTGAGAGAGCTCTGACAGAAACTGCTCTTTTCAAGAACAGCTCTTGTCAGAATTATGGGTTGCCCAAGGTCATCCAGCCAGGTGCAAGTGGAGGAGTGGGGAATCAAACCTGGTTCTCCCAGATTCTCCCTTTTGCTCTAATGTCACCAGAGGAAGCATAGTCCATTCATCAAGGCATGGCATAATCCGTTTTAGCCTAAGCTGGAGCACATATGGACACTGCAGTTGCATATGTACAAGAGAGTCCACTGATTGGAGGGAGCAGGGACATAACTGATCTGAAAAAGGAATCCTTAGCAGACAGCCCAGCAATTCTATTGAAAAGGGGCAGTTAAATCGTGAATGCATAGAGGTCCTACATAACTTTGGTTTAACCAAGGAATCTAAATAAGAAATGAGTTTATACTTAGATAGAAAGGCCAAGGCAAGCGGAGAACATATCCTCCAAGCATCAAAATGAGTATAACTCTGATTTCTGGCATAAATCAGTTTGGTCACTTTTTTTTTTTGGGGGGGGGCATTGATTTTGCATCTTTAGGAAGAAAAAAGATCCTCCACCTTAAGATTCACAAGAGATAACTTCTTTTCAAAAAGCTGGTGCCAGGGAGCCTTATAAGAGTCTCTGAGGGTTAGGCTTACCAAGCTACCCTCAGGGGCCTCAAAAAACAGATGAAATAAAAAAATTAAAGGCACGTACCCAGGCACACTCTTCTATAGAAATAAGACCAAATTCATAATGGAGGGTTGATGATAAAATGCACCTGGGGAGCCCTCCAATTGCTCAAAGGAATGAAGAATATACTCTGTTTATAGAATTGTCTACAGCAGAAATCCATAGAGAGACACCATGCAAAATCACCATTGAGTTAAAAACTCTAATAGCAGCTGGAATATAGTGTACCCCATTTGAAAAAAAGAAATGCAAAATTGCCTTCATAGCAGCCATAGATTTCTGAGTGACCAATTGTTTATGACATCTCCAGGTCAAAGTACAATTAAATAAAACACCCAAATACCTAAAAGAGGCAACCTGTGAGATCTCCCGCCCATTAACTATCCATGTCTCTCTTTTGGTCGAAGAGCAAGGTGCAAACTTAGTACTTTTAGTTCTAGTAAAACTAATAGATAATTCTATCAGACAAATACAAACTAAATAAGGATGGTGCCAAAAGACATCCCTGTCAAACCCCCCTGGATGATGGGGAAGGAAGTAGTTGTGACCCTTACTATTACACTGCACTTGGGTAGTAGAAACAGTATAGAGATTTTTAATTAACCACAACAATCTCCAATCCATTGTGGTTTGCTTCAATTTAGCCCATAGATGGGTTGTAGATAGAGAATCAAATGCATAAGAAAGATCTATGAAGGCTGCATATAAAAAGCTCTTCCTCAAAAATGGCATTCTTACTAGTCAAGTGGGATAACACAAGACAGTGATTGAGCATACTATGTCCCTTATGAAATCCCAAGGGTAAGGAAGGGCCAGTGAACTTACACTCAGCCATCCAAGACTAAAGTCCAGCATCCTAAATCACAGTGGCCAACCAGTTCCTCTGGACGGCCAACAACAGGCCATGGAGACTGAGACCTTCCCCTGATGCTGCCTCCTGGCTCTGGGATTCAGAGTTAGTGCCTACGATAGACCATGAACCTGTCTAAACCCCTTTTAAAGCTGTTCATTCCTGTGGCTATCACTACATCCTTCGGCAGCAAATTCAACATTTTAATCACTCACGGCTTAGATCCTTGGATGCAGAAATCTCAGGTTCAATTCATTTGATATCTGCACTTTAAAAAATCAAGTAGTAGGTTTTCCTGGAAAGCCACTGCTAGTCGGAGCAAACAGTACTAGGCATTGGTCTGATTCAGTATAAGACAGCTTAATAAGTGCACCCCATGGCTTGTTTCTCTGATTAACACTGAGGTTTGGTGAACAGAAAATTGGCCATGGATCTGGAGATCCATATTCACATCCAGCTTTGACTGCGGACAGGGGAAACAGCTAGCAATTCCCCAGCTATTTATAACACTGGGACCAATAATTACACTCCACGGACAGACAAAACTAGTGCAAAAAATTATAGATCACTGTGAAAGTTACCATGTATTTCAAATTGTTACTGATAATAGTTCCTGCCCCCTCTCACATATTCTACCAAGAACAAAGTTTGAGTCTTGTCGCATCTTTAAGATCAACATTTTATTCTAGGTATAAGCTTCTGTATGCATTCACACTTCTTCAGATTACCCAAATATATTTGGAAATTATGGGTCTCTTTGTTTTTAACAGATGGGTTCCCTACCTCCTTTTAATAATTTAAAACTTTATTGTTACGAAAACAATTATAGTCCCCTTAGTAACTGGAAAAATAAGAGCAGTAATGAATACATAAAATAGTTACTTTCTTCCCATCCCCTGCCTACACTTGTGCTACTCCCTGCCCGTCACTTTAGAGGCATGAAATCGGATTTCAAGTAAGGGCAACCGACTTCAACCTCCGTTACTGAGCTTGCTCGTTTTCCCCGGCGCATGCGAAGCAACGTTCCCTTCAACTTCCTTTGGAATGTTGTTAAACACGCAGCTACCAATCAGAAGCATTCATTTGCCCCGAAAGAATACACATGCATACGCGGGCGGAGCTGACGCCAGGATAGTCATGACTTGCACGTGGGCGAGGTCAAGTGGGAATTCTTTTGCACCTTGAGACCACGTGGCTCATCAGTCAGCGACAAGAATGAAGACTACCAGTTGGCGTACAGTGCGAGCCTAAAGCAGGTTCTGTTCCCTTCTGTTTTTAGCGGCGGTAGCAGCTGCTTCTCCACCCCACTGTGATTGTGTGAGCTTAGGCTGTACCTGTATGCACGCTGACTTGAGAATAAGTCCCACTGAACCTGGATGTAGTTTCGGGGGTGTGTGTTTTTTTTTCCTTAAGCTGGGATCCTTTAAAGCTAAATACACGTGTTTAGCATCGGGCTGCAAGATTAGTATGAGTTAAGCTTTTTTAGCAGTGCAGGCAACTGCTTTTTCCGTGTGCAGAAAGAAATAGATGGGATGGACAAGGGTACTCGCCTCTATGGAAGGGTAAAGTAAAACTGTTGTGAGATGTCTGTGCGAGGGGTGCTGGGGAAGGAAGATCGTGTGGGGGTGTTTCGGGCTTCCCTTGAGCAGCGGATCCAGGCGCGTGCCTGTCTCGGTTACCTGCGCTCGAAGTCCTGTTTAAAAGTAGCCAGCTGGGGGTCCCTCTCCAGCAGTCGGTGCAGCTCAGGGACAACCGGATTTAGTGCGGCCATCTTTGCAGCAGAAATCGACTCCAGGACCAGAAGATAACCAACAGCGTTGCCCTCCCTGCTCTGTATACACTTGGGGAAGGGGAAGTGCAAATTCTAGGCTCTTCCCTTTTTCTCTGTCTCCTGGATAGGGCCAGGCTGGTGCCGCCCACCCAACCCGGGATGGAGGCTACCTCTCTTTAAGAAAGGGAAAGGATCTGGCTCGCGGCCTGGGCTTGGAACATCACAGCGACCCGCTGCTCAGTCTGCAACTTCATTGTGACTGAGCATGCCCAGTTGAATTGAGCAAGCGCAGTGTTACTTTTTGAAGCTGATGCCCTCACCGTTTGCCCTTACTCAATCCAGAGGCTGATTTATCGGGTTACAGAAACGTTGGGAAGGATGACGGCTGCTTTTTGTTTGTTTTGTGAAGGGAGATTGTTTTGGGGTGTAAACGCGGCAGACAGGGAGACGTGATGGGTAGCATTAACGTTATAAAAATGTCAGAGAGATTAACAAAAGGGATGAGAAAAGTGCAAAAAAAACAGCCGCAAAGCACCACCCCCGCCCCCGATAGGCTGATGGAAAGGGGCGAAACGCTTATGAGGCTTGGGGTGTTAAGGGCAAATCTTATGTACTGCTGGCAAAAAGGTTGGCTTGAAGATGAGCGGAGCTTTCCTCATCTGTTTTGGCAGGCTGTTTCATCTCAGCGTTTATTTCCCAATACAGTCGTTTTAAAGGCACAGGCGACCGCGATCTTTTTTCTGTGTGCATTCTTGGCTATCTCACCACTTAAGGGTGGGGGTGGCATCGAACAGACCCCGGGCCTTTTCCGTCGTGGCTCCGACTCTGTGGAATGGGCTCCCTGAAGAGGTGAGAGGGGCCCACTCTTTGGAGATCTTCAGGAGGTGATTAAAGTACTGTCTGTTTGCCACAGCATTTGATGGGATCTGAAGAGCAGGCAAGGGGGGGGGGGAGTTGGAGGCTTGTTATTTTATCTTTGGTTTTTAGCTGGGGATGTCTTTAAACAATCAGTCAATCAATAATCATTGTAAGCTTGCTTGAACCAAGAGGAAAGGTGGGATATAAATCTGTCCCTTATATATAAAGCCATAGTGGGGCCCAATGTTCCAATGCGCACCAACAGTGTTTGGTGGCTTGAACTGTCAGTCAGAAGACGCTGGCTGCTTTGTGTAGTCCCGCACACGTCAGCCCCGGCCAGCATGTTCGGTTCAGTCTGCTCTGGACCTCTGACAGAGGACCATCTGCAGACTGAGCGCAGGGACGGGGCTTCTGCAGCTGGGCCACTTCAGCCCACTCTTCTCTGATTGGGCCAGCGTTTCAAAGTCATTTGCATATGGAAGCTGATTGGACTTCACTCCATTCCACACCTCAAACTCCCCCCCCCAGGCAGTTGGAATTGTCAGTTGCATGTGGGACCTGGTGTATTCTGAGGTAAAATATGTCCTCACTCACAACACATCACTTCCCCTTCAAAAGAAACAAACCCAATAACACAATCATGCCACACCACAAAAAAGACAGATCACAAGCAGAATACCACAAGGCAAAAAATGATAGGAAAAGGTGCCAGCAGTCACCCCATTACTGCCACAGATATGTACCTGAGAGCGCTTCAAAGGATGGTGTGCAGGTCCCAGGTTCATGTTTTAAAAGCTGCCTGGGGGATTATGGACCATTCACACACTTTCAACCTTA